CACAGGGAGTGTTAACTAAGTCCTAATCTCAAAGCAGGAAATAGGTTGGATGGGATGAAAGTAGAGAGAGAGAGAAAGAAAAGAAGAGAAAGGGAACAAAAAGAGACCAGAAAAAATAGAAAGGTAAAAATTAATAATATTATACAGATTCGAAAACAAGCTATTCAGAGAAGAAGATGAATATAATGAGAGAAGGGGAGGGATATAAAGGAGATGTGAAAAACTTAAAAATAAAAATACTTAAAATATTATATAGGTATAAAGAGGTAGTACTGCTATTAAGGAATTTACCCCTAAGAGGTTTTGAATTGAGTAATAAATTTGTGGATTAAGTGTGCACACAATGGGGGATAAGGTCTAATATTCCATTATGGGTTTATCTGAGGATGTGCAGAACAGCAATTAAGTCACATAAAGAACGAAAGAGAAGAACCGGTGAAAAGGATAAGAGAGAAAGAAAAAAGATCAGAAGTTCAGTAGAGCTAAACAAAAAACAAAACAAAACAAAAAACAAAAATAAAAACAAAAACAAGAAGAAAGGAAGAAAAATGCACACATACTTTTACCCCTAAAATAAAATTCTAAGAGGAAAAAAAATTACTAGAAAACAATTTTTTTCAAAAAAGGTAAAAATTAAAGATTAAAAAAAATTTTTTATACAAGGTACAACAAAACAACAACAGAAAAAAGTTCTTTGATTTTTTGGGGGAGGGATGGGAAAAATCCCGTGTCTCCCTTGTGTCCGTAACCAGCCTCTTGTTGGAGTCTCTGGTCTGCTTGTGTTCCTATGGCTTGGTTGGTTACTTAAGTCAGTTTCTTTGAACAGGCAGAAAAATGCTCTGCGATCCTCCTCCCAGGTTAGTTCAATGGGAGGAGATGGCTTTTTCCTCGAATTTGGAGATGCTGTGATGAGGCTAGGTTCTGGGTAGAGTTGAGGCCTTTCAGCAAACCGTAGCTTTTCCTGGGGGGCTGGTTTGTGAGAAACTCACAGAGCCCAGCATGGAGACACTATCAGGGTTTCTGTTTACTGAATTTCAGTTGATTGTGGAGGCTGCTAAAGGGAGGGGCAGCTTCTGGCTCTTATTACCCGGTGAAGAAAGCCACTCCTGGGGCTGGCGCCCGAGCTGGGTGACTTTTCCCTGGGTGGAGCTGAGTCTGGCAGGTCAGGTAGGCTCTTTTGACCTGCTAGATGACTCTAGATTTATTCCAGGGTCTGAGTTGGAATTAGCAGCTCTGCCGAGCTTTGTCGGTATCCAATATGGAGATCTCCGATACTGGAGGGAGGGAGAAGGGGTGGCCTTCCCTCCTCTGCTCCCTGAGAAGGAGTGAGGACTTCAGGCTTCTACTCACACCGAGTTTTGGTTCCTGGGTGGTCTCTGGTCTGGGAACTGGAGGATGAAGATATCTTCTCCTTGTCGGTTCTTGCTGGTGTTGAGTAGAATCTGCTTGCCTGCTGCTTCTGGCTCCTTTGTCTTGGACTCTTTGTGTTTCAGGTATGGCCGCTACAGTTGGCCCTGTCACCGCTGCCGCCGCCGCTGCAGCTGCTGGCAAGTGCTCAGGGCTGTCTCCCTGCCTGTATTTTCTCTCTCTGGCCTAACTCTCTGTCCTGTGAAGGCACACTTGGTGTGATTCTCTGGCTTAGGACTATTCACTGGAACTCTAAAATTTCTTTCTATGCAAAAGCTTGTTTAGCCTCCAGCTTCTCCTCAGCCATCTTCCCGGAACTCGGTCTTCTTACTAGCTATTGATCCAGGAGAGATTATAATGTGGTGGTAGGATGATCTGTTCTGGTGTGGCTTATTTGGGATTCTAAAAGCTTCTTGTATCTAGATATGCCTGTCCTTTTGTATATTTGGGAAATTCGCTGCTAGGATTTTTCTGAATGTATTTCCTAATCCATTGGTTTCCCTCTCCAGGCCTTCTTGTATACCTTTTATTCTCAAATTAGGATTTCTGAATGTCTCCTGTATTTCCTGCAATGATCTTCATGCTTGTTGGTTTTGTTATGAATATCTGTGTACTGTTTCTCTCTGGAGTCTTAACTGTCTTCTGCCTCAGAGATTCTTTCTTCTGCCTCCTCCATTTTGCTTTCAAGACTTTTTACTTTGCTATTTATCTCCTTTCCTTTTTGCTGGCCTTTCTTAATGGTGGCCAGCTCTTTATTAAGGTTTTTTTTTTAAAGTTTTGAATAGATTGCCTTATCTCTCGGAATTGGTTTTTGGACTTCTCTTTCCACTCTTTTATCTGGGTTTCTATCTTTTCATTAGACTCTTTCTTCTTCTTTTGAAGTTCCTTTATCCTTTTATTTGTGGAGGCCATGAAGTCATCTATTAACTTCTGGTAGGCCTGATCACCTTCTCTTATAGCCCTAAGCAGTGTGTCCAATTTTTCATTCAGTAGATTTACCAGCCATACTTTTAAAATAGCTTGAGTATTATCCTCTAGGTCATTCTGGGACACTCTATGGCTTATTTACATTGAGATGGTGTTGGAGTTTGTTGATTGGCCATGTTTCCTTTGTTTCTGCAGTTAGTTCTACCCATTTGAAGATAAGAACCACACGGGTATGATTATAGGACAGTCTTTTAGGGCCAGAGGCAACCGGTGTCATATAAATGTATAGATCTTAGGGGTTCAGTATTATGGATAGGTGTTTTCCTATTTAGCTCTCTTTTTCTTTGCTTGAAGGGAGATGTTGTGGCTCTGAGGTAGAAATTGTATATAGTTGTAACTTTTGAGGAGATGTATGATTAGCTGATAACTAGTCTGCATCTTAGAGGTAACAGGATGTGCCTCTTATACATAGTCACAACAGAACCAAATCTAATATTTGGTCAGATAGAAACTGTTAGGGATCAATGGACTGGAGCAGATGAAAAAGAGAAGGGTTAGGATTGGAGAGATATAAATTTAAGTTCAGAAGAAAAATTGGGTATAATGATAGTAGAGGGGTAAGAACTGCTTATAGCACAAGAATATACAGTAGAGGCTTTGTTTCTGAGAGTAAGAGGTAGAAAAGAATTCAAAGAAATGTTATGTAGGGAACAGCTGAGAGAGCTAGATAAAGTTTAGAAAAAAAGGTATATATAGATAAGAAAAAAAGTTATATATATAAGTGTATTTGGAAAAGTTGCTGAGACTAGAAAATGGTTTATTCAAAGAGTATTGGGATGGCACTGAATCTAAAATAACTCCTGTAATTATTGTTTACATACATAGAAAGAGGCCTTTCTTTGTGTATACAACTAAACAGGGTATCTCTGATGGAGTAGCATTATAATGTGGAGAGAAATGAAAAGGGGATTGTAAGAGGAAACACAAAATAGAAAATTAGGAAATTGAAAAGTGGAAGGAAAAAACAAATAATAGTGAAAAATAGAAGATTGAAGAAATAGAAAATCCTAAAAACCAATACACAAAAGTAACACAGAGAAATAAAAACAACAAACATCAAATATAAAAAAACCTAAAGAGTGAGTTTCTCTGGTTGTTTAGGGAGCTTGAGTCTCTATGTATTCCTCAAAGCCAATTACTGATAAAACTTCGTATGCTTTGCCATAGTCCACTTTTCTTTTGGCTTGGTTGGGACTAGACAGATTTTGATGATGGAGGGTGACTGCTATCTAGAGTTCCACTCTAGAAGAGGCACTGTGGCTTAGATGGTAGAACACTACCCTTGAGCTGAAGAGCTCAGGGACAGTGCCCTTGCCCAGAATTCAAGCCCCATGACTGACAAAGAAAATACACAGACTTTCCTTCCTAGGCTGCCCTGGGGCAACTGGGATCCTCCTGGAAGATCCAATGGACGCACTGATGCTAGCACCAAGCAAGGCATATTGTTTATTCTGGATTATTGGTCCAACCATTTTATGTCTGACACAGCAGTCTAAGAAAAACCTGACCTATACTTATGCCCTGCTCACTAGGAGGTTGAATCCAATACCTGCTGTGGTTCACAAGATTGGAGGAGGCAGGTTGTGTCAGTGTCTTCCTTCTTTATCCTAAAAGAGTTCCAGAGGCACAATCTGGACCCAAGAGCAGAGACTATAAGCATTTCCAACCACTTGTCTCAGTTTATGTGCATGATTCTGAGATTTAACTTTAATTCTCTCCCTTCATGCAATGTAAGAGGGTTTCTGTCCATAGAGAACTATTAACACTGATGATGGTGAGAAAGAAGCCAGCTTCTTTCCACAATTTCTTACACCTCCTTTTCTGTTGTTTTGTTCTACTAGAGAAGTACCTTCTGGTCCACACCACTTGACTCAGATGTGTTCTTTGTTGGGTGGTGCAATCTTCATGTTCTATCTTCCTTGGCTGCCATCTTGCTCTGCTTCTGGGGAATCCCCTTGAATGATGGTATTCTCTGAGTCAGCTTAGTGTGCCTCTACCACATAACATGAATTGTATTTCTTTGTTTGCTTTAATTTCCTCACAAGGCAAGATTAACTTCTTTGCAGCAGGGTGGGCCATCTGCATGATCTGGCAAGTGAGCACAGAGACAAGGTAGCCTGTTTTCCTAGTTAGTACTAATACAGCAGGCCTTGCCTCTCTTCTCATACTGGTTGAAATTGGGTGAACAAGCTGCTCCCAATTTGAATTAGATTTCTTAAGAGTTTTCTCAGATGCACAGCTAAGTCAAGGTACTTAATGACTTGGTATGTGAGCTGGGCAAGCTCTTATGTCCCAGAAGACAGCAGTGTTTTTCACATATCCATATATTCCAGAGAGGAAAAACCAGCTTGCTCATCCCTCCCCCCCCCTTTCTACAATCTCAGAACAATAATCATCTCGTGTATGCTGATCAAGGCCAGTTCAGGAGCTCTCCTAATTGTAATAACTTGTCTAAGACTCCAAATTATAATGCCATCCTGTTGGAAGATAGGATCTACATATACTACTGTGTAGAAATAAGCATTTGATTCAACAATGTCATGAGATTTGCAGTTAATCTTTTGTAATACACATATACACACCAAATTTTTGTGACCTATGTGCAGGATGAACTTACAGAAATACCAATTGCTTCTTACCCTGGTGTTAGCTGTTGAGGAGATCAACAAGAATGCCCATCTGCTACCCAACATGACTCTGGGGTTTGAGATCTATAATGAGAATTTCAAAGATGCTGATATGTTAGAGAATCCTCTCATCTGGCTCTCTGGGATGAATACAAACAGCCCTAATTACAACTGCAGAAGAGACAGCAAAGCTTTAGCAGTACTCACAGGAACCTCAACCATATCTGTCCCAATTGGGACACTGCTAGACCTCTACAAACTACCACAGGTGAGGCTGGAAGGGGTGGGCAGATGTGATACCATGTTCACATTGACTCTGTCCTCTACAGGCTGAACAAAAAACCCTCCAAAATGCATGATCTCACAGGGAAAAGACTCGAAAGGTGAGTGGGGCATACACATTTTCTTTGCTGCAAAAAATAAATAACTAAAAGGAGAGGTTTTTAGGAGACTAAAGGATGATCCAAAACTCTAAGCCTTATCTGTACATTTTTACAAAGAGCTTGGAACATGGGAGATATATTTGCAAATGGGATAAGCAAACTTTTGCTCCCACTGCTATGAGTTGTTGTGTAGTTAACATCAGGACCAAGATTTGCCTATGACCATTCTCTTCCTGGGGTTTGTGTTCATTTTTTTCCCTGTAGTTCACGTTTGGGATATTTGATCCTCTCCTGAATGTCCATGGAAAGTTCAGTACTGTCTATCAGATGGCTGCCAAGGACTCAGCTCTAGCTCTGGCCATGGTAACCTTGATGCTTCATTTCAGCTGGACATGGGTGGGACTGTTCACCAATGAAGATGACTATGGTGTGTGGTTCCTCTCAGAATTGAGAGAAGAGTTGTACAAAAATGGAGTCTGTTTGGCCTTTGAGAACATGATCACTTACACTGCACTTGCAGATTTATCAAATGATCTACGGATGCATCGCCAGCTGATGGATTCATCAACCAATGTGATTATCATTTATGGGGACAGTAAATTTCTAATAAGCTTTACTCTTAAATTTGGGCACTTTTTAATTACAGGGAAAGTCTGGGTCATGAACTCACACTATGATGACTTGACAATTGGTAGATATTTTTTGCTCGATTCTTTTCATGCTCCTCTCATCTTCTCTCACCATCATAGAAACACTCACGGATTCACCAATTATATTCTGACAGATACCTTATCCAAGAACTCAGGAGATTACTCCCTTCCCAAGTCATGGATTCAGTCTGTTTATTGCCTACTGATTAAGTCTGACTGCAGAGACTTGGGGCACTGTTCATACAATGCCACACTGGATTGGTTGCTGAGGCACATTTTTGACATGACCATGTCAGAAGAAAGTTACAACATCTACAATGCTGTGTATGCCTTGGCCCACGCCCTCCACCAGATGTTTCTTCATCACATAGAAGAGCCACCAGTGCACAATGGGAAACCAAGGGCATTTATCTCTTCACAGGTAATGGTTTTGCTTTTGGGTGACCTACACTAGGCATGCAGACTTTCTGTAGAAGCTTACAAATCAGATGGAACTAGGTTATCTGGCTTCATTTAGGAAAATACAAGAGACACTGGGCCTGTTGTGGTCTCATTGAAATGACTGTAGAGCTGCGAAGACAATGTTTTTGAAGAATGCTGCTTCCGTGACAAGGAAGTGCTGTGTCTTCTGACCCCTATGTGCACTAAATATGGAAAAAGCCGTCCCCTTTTCAATACCATATTTCCATATTGACTTTGTACCTTTTAAAAATAACAAATCAAGGGTGACTAGTTCTTGTAAAGCTAAGATTGTCTATACACAAGGGGCCCACTTATGTAGCCTACCCCTGAGTACAATTAACCACCGAAACGCCAGAGTTGGAGCTGTGGCTCTAATAATAGAATTCTTATGTCGAAAGGAAAAAAACAAACAAACAAAAATACCTCACGTTCAGTGCCTAAACCTTGAGTTTGAGCTACAGGACTGGATACACACACTCACACATACACACACGTACACATACACACACTTATACCCACACATAATGAACTAAGTCTTGCTTAAGGTAATCTTTCATACTTGCCATAAACACTCTATATTCTACTTAGTTCATTATTTACCTATATTTCAGACAGACTCTCTGATCTTCAATAAGTGATTGGAATTCACTTTAGAGTGGTGATTGAGGTCTGTCACAATATAATTCATTGTTTGGTTGGATGTGGCTGGAGTCTCATTCCTTTAAAAATGAGTTTCTGCATCCCATCCTGGATAATTAGGTTTTAGAACTTGGTAACACTTTAGTCCTCTGTGGGCCTACATTTGATACATTTGATTAGATTCCTGTGGTGCTAGTGAATTATGTGGTGGGAATTTAAGCTAATCTGTGTGCATCCATTGTTATGGGGTTCTGTGATAACTCTGGCAATCAATTCGCCATACTATAATGTCTCTTTTAGCTGCATCACTTTTTGAAGAAGATCCAATTTATCAATCTTGTTGGAGACCAAGTGGTTTTGAATGAGGAAAGGAAATTGGAGGCAGAGTATGACATTATGAGCTTTTGGAACTTTCCTAAAGGTCTGGGACAAACGGTGAAAGTTGGCAAATTTTCTCCATTTAGGCCACATGGTCAACAACTGATTTTGTTTGAAAATCTGATAGAGTGGCCCATAGGAATTACCAAGGTGATTCATTTGTACTTTTTTTGCTCTCTTGTTTTTTAAAAACTGTATTGTTAGTGTGAAGTAGCTGTAGGAAGAGCTTAGAATTCTTAGTGATGTTTTGAGTTCAAGGCTTGTCCACAATGTCACCACACTCTTATTTCTTCCCCGTAGTTGGTCTTCTCTAACTGTAATATCATGATCTATTTTAAATAAGCAATAAGCTTATCCTGTTTTTAAGCTTGTTCAATAAAACTATGTCTCAGTGGTGGACATTTCAAAACTTCCTGTTCCTGGAAGTTTCTTACTAACAGATTCATGGAGGGAATAGGAGAACTTTTCTTTACCATTATGTTGTTATATATTTGTATATTAAACATCATAAAAGTTAAATAACACCTATGAATCATCTTTCCAGCACTGTGACCAAATATCTGAGGGAATCAAATGAGAAGGCAGAAGGGCTTGGTTTGCTTCTGCCTGGAGATTTCATACCGCAGTTGGATAGAGTGTTGATTTTGAGTTTGTATTGAGACAGGATGTAATGAAAGGAGCATCTGCCAGTGAATTTCACCCACCTCGTGGCAATTGGGATGGCAAGAGGAAGAGATGTGAATGGCCCTGGGTACAGCAGCACCTCCAAAGCAATTAGCCAGGCTTTAGAGTGTGGGTTTGAAGTTTCCTGATTGATTTTCCTCTCGTGCTCTTATTCATCTATTCACAGATGAATAAGAGAGAAAATACATCATCACCATAGTTCAAGAATCGTATCCAATTAAAAAAAATGGATGCAAGATTTAATTCCATTTTCCAATTTCCTAGAATCCACATGTTAAAGGCTCCATGTCTTCCTGATAGCATGAGGGGCTGGGTGTTGAGGCCCCACATGTTCTTCAAGTGATGTTATATGAAACTGTAAAATGCTCAATCAATTCATTGGCTGTATTTATATAAAGATTATGTGTTTTGATCAACTTATCCCCCAAATCACTGTAGTGTCTGGAATGTCAGGTAAAAGATGAATAGTCACTAACATTCATTTGAATGTTCTCAGAGTCCTCAGTCTGTGTGCAGTGAGAGCTGTGGTCCTGGATTCAGGAAAGCCTCTCTGGAGGGAAATGCTACCTGTTGCTTTGATTGTACTCCTTGCCCAGAGAATGAGATTTCTAATATGACAGGTGAGTCTGTAGAGTGAAATTCCACATCTCTCCTTCCTAACCTTCAAGCCAGTGGAATGATCTAGTAGCAAGGCAAGAAGACACATGCATGTTCATACAAAATTCCATCCTACTGTTAACCATATTTCTCCTTAGAAGAACCAACCCAATGCTTCTCCATTACATACCTGATTGTATTTTCTAATCTACTACAGGCTTTATCTTGAGAACATTCCTGTTCCACTCTCCACCGTCACATTTTTTGTATTTAAAGAAAATATGTAAAAAAAAAAAAAAAAAAGAAAATATCAAGTACCAGTTGTTGATCTTTGAAATGATGTGCAAATGATCATGGAAATCTGGATCTAACACAGCCTTTCATTTCTGAGTCCCATTGCTGATCTTTTCAAATTAAATTTTATTTTATATTTAGCATACTCTAATAATACAAAGGGCTTTGTTTGGATAACTCCATATCTGACACAGGCACTAGGTTGACTATCAAATCTTCAAACGTAATTGATTCAAGAGTAGTTTACCAACTCCATTTCATTTGGCTTCTCCATTCAAATATAATTGATTCAGAAATTTTTACCAACCCCATTTCTTTTGGCTTCTCCATTCAGAAGTTGTTTACAATCTCCATTTCATTTGGCTTCTCCCTCCTCCAGTGATCTTTCCCAGAACGTATCATATTGGTGGAGGGGCATTGTTCTTTTTTTCCATTTATCTTTATTGTTTTATTTTTTGTTTTGATTTGCTTTTTGTCAGTTGTGGGGAGTAGCATTGTTCTTGACACACAACAAATGCTCAGGAGGTTTTTGTTTGATATAAGGAGTAGGTTGAGTTGTGGATTAGGCCCTCTTCTCTATTCTCCATTATTTCTTGAATTAGTAGTAGAGAGCCAGCGTGATATGACCTGTCTAGAATGAGTACATAATGCTAGGTAATTATTACACTTGAAATCCAAGGTACTCAGGCAGTTGAGATTTGAGATGGAGTTTGATGCAATGATGGGAAGGAAACTCAATAAGATTCATTCCCACAATTAAGCAACAATAATGTTGGAATGCAAGCTGTGGGTCAGTGTGAGGGTGGCAGTGTTGGGCATGAATTCTCTGGAAAAATTCCCAGGGCCAGAGTTCAAACACTAGAGGAAAGAAAGAAGAAAAGAGAAAGAAAGAAAGAAAGAAAGGAAGGAAGGAAGGAAGGAAGGAAGGAAGGAAGGAAGGAAGGAAGAAAAAGGAGAAAGAAGGAAGGAAGGAAGGAAGGAAGAAAAAGAAGAAAGAAGGAAGGAAAGAAGTAAAGAATAGCAGAAAGAGAAAGAAAGAGAAGGAAAGAAAAAAAGAGGGAGTGAGGGAGGGAGAAGGGAGGAAAGATAGAAAGGAAGGAAGGAATGGAGGAAGGAAGGAAGGAAAGAAGGAAGAAAGCAAGGAGAGGAGGGAAGGAGAAGGAAAGAGATAACCAGAAAAAAGAGAAAGGGAGTAAGGAAAGAAGAAGAAATGTGAGAAAGAAAATGTACCTGAATGTATTTTGATATAGAGAGGTAGTCTACATGGTATTGAAAGCAATACAGGTCAAATGGTGAATCAGGGAAAAGGAGTTGCTTGAGTGGAAGGGGATGAGAGTAAAGAGAAATTATGAAAACAGATTAATAGTGATTCTCACTCCTCACCAGACATGGAGCAATGTGTGAGGTGTACAGATCATCAGTTTGCCAGCACTCAGAGAAACCAATGTCTGATGAAAACTGAGAGCTTCCTAGCTTATGAAGACCCCTTGGGCATGGCTCTAGTATGCATGGCTCTCTGCTGCTCTGCATTCACAGCTGCTGTTCTTTGGGTGTTTATCAAGCACCAAGACACTCCCATTGTCAAGGCCAATAACTGGGTCCTCAGCTATATCTTGCTCATCTCCCTCATCTGCTGCTTCCTCTGCTCCTTGCTTTTCCTTGGCCGTCCACACACAGTCACCTGCATCCTCCAGCACACCACATTCGGAGTGGTCTTCACCATGGCTATTTCCACTGTCCTGGCCAAGACCATCACTGTGGTTCTGGCCTTCACACTCACTGCTCCAGGAAGAAGGGCGAGGAAGATGCTGGTGTCATGGGTTCCTAACCTCCTCATCCCCATCTGCACCCTTATCCAGATGATTCTCTGTGGCTTATGGCTGGTAACCACTCCTCCCTTTGTGGACACAGATGTGCACTCTGAACATGGCCATGTCATCATCCTGTGCAACATGGGGTCCCTCACTGCCTTCCACTGTGTCCTGGGATACCTGGGCACCCTGGCCCTGGCCAGTTTCATGGTGGCTTTTATGGTCAGGAACCTGCCTGACACCTTCAATGAGGCCAAATTCCTAACCTTCAGCATGCTGGTGTTCTGCAGTGTGTGGCTCACCTTCCTGCCTGTCTACCACAGCACCAAGGGGAAGGTCATGGTGGCTGTGCAAGTCTTCTCCATCTTGGCCTCCAGTGCAGGGCTTCTTGGCTGCATTTTTGCCCCCAAGTGCTACATCATCTTGATAAGACCTGAGAGAAATTCTCTGTCCAGGATCAGGGAGAGATCACGTTCTGGAAGAAACAAACATTAAGATGAACCTAATTGTTGCCCAGAATGTTTAGAGGCTCTGAGAGCAATCTGTACTAATTTGACAGTCAACTCTTAATTGAATACTTAGAGCAAAGAAGTTACTCTTATTCATTCCTCTGGTTATGTTAGAGTCATAGCAAATTTCCAACAAGACCTCCTAAATTGCGTTCTAACTTGGATATATTATGCTTTTTGAATGTAATCTGCCTTTTATGCTATCATTCTTCCTTGTGAGTACATTATCTACTGTGCTTCTTCCTTTCTATTTCCTGTCTCGATTTTTCTTCCTACCTATGCTGTTTTGCTGCTTGTACAGCACTATATTTCTAAGGCTAGTATTATATTTCCTTTATTTCTTTTTTGTATATTTTTAATTGTAAAAATACTGTACAGAGAGGTTCCAGTTACATGAACAAGGTAATGAGTACATTTTCAATCAAACATTGTTGCCTCCTCCTTAGTTTTTCACCTACAATCCTTTCCCTCCCACCTCCACAACTACTCTGATCCACCCTCGCTGAAGATGTAACGTGGTATATGAGTTTTTTTCTGTCTTTGTTCCTCTCCCAGGGCATCCCCCTGGGATGCTTGATTCCAGTGCCCTGCATCTTCTATACAAATTTCTCTAATTTGAGGAAGGGAAGAGAAAAAACAAAATGCTTAAAAAGGGTTAGAGTTTGACCCATTGTAACAATGACATGCACAACATACCCTATAGATAACATATTTTATATTTTGCTATATTAGTGAGTATATTTTTTACAAAATCTCTCATTCTCTCTCTTCTTTCCTGAAGAATTTTATAGCAGAATATTTATCTGCTCCAGTTTCCCACAGGAATCTACAGGTTTTTTTTTCTGGAAGAAATGTGAGGGCACCAAACTAACTAGAGTTGTCCAAATGAGCAGTGGGAGCAATAGTTTGCTTATTGGTCATTATTTCTCCATGACAGCCATTGATAAAGAATGCACAATTAGCCCAGCAGAGCCTTGTCATCTCAGTCCCTAAGAATCCTCAATATTAATGGAAGGAGAAACAGAATCATTTATAAGAAGAGAAAAACTCCCCAAAAAGAGGACAAAAACATTAGATAGGCTCAGACTCCATATCTCTCAATATTCTTTACAATTCTATGAGAACAAGAATGATTTAGAAGAGTCCATTAAGAAACAAGAAGTGTTGAGGGGCTTAAAGTGGGAATATTGTCAGGCCACCACTGCATTGTACAGTCAGGAGGATTCCAAAAGACAAGCAAGATAATGTCTCTGAGTCCAGAGATATTGTCGTCCTTCAATGCTGTAGCTGTGGCTCATTGGAGTGCCATCACCCATGCATGCATGACAGAGACACATACAGCGCTGTCTCTAATTCTGCTGGGCCAATGCTGGAAAACAGAAAAGCATCTGCACAAAAACAGAAATGTCTGGAAGCCAAACTGATTATTCGCAGTTTCAATGACTTAAGAGAGAGCTCTCTGTTCTATATAGGTGTAATGACTGCTAATTTTGGACAAATATGTTTTCAACACAGGGATATTGATGAATTTTTCTACCATAAAGCTTTAATAAGTACCAAAACAACCCAACTAAACAAAAGAAATGAGTGTTAGACTACCATGTCAAATGTCTATCTCAAACTTTTGAAGCCTAACTAAACAAAAGAATTGAGTGTTAGACTACCATGTCCAATATCTATATCAAACTTTTGAAGACTGATCAGTTGCCCACTAGAGAAATAGGAACAAGGAAACTTCAAATCCAATAACTGTTTGTCCTTTATTAAATGTAAACTTACCATTTTATGCTAATAATAAATAGCTAGAAAAAAAATAGCTAGTTGCCCTTATATTATACATTCATCCTACTCTAAGAGTAAAGGAAGTAAGCATTAAGTCATTTCTAAGGAAAGAGGTTAAGGTACAATGGACCTGTTCCTGGGCTCTCAGTGAAATAAAATGGGAGTTTACCTTGTCAATGGGGACAAACTAACAGAATTATCCTAGTCTCATGTCTTATATCCATAAGCAGCAAGGCCAATGCAAACACAGCTGTAACAGTGTGTATCTGTATACTTAGAGTTACATTGACATTGTTCACAATTTGCTGAGCACCCATGCCTCAGGCCTGTAAATTTCATTCCTCAGAGAGCTAGATGTGAGTATCAGGGTTCCAAGCAAGCCTGGGGTAAGAAAGTTCATGAGTCTTTTATCTGCAATGAACCAATAAAAACCAGAATATATCTTTGGTTCAAGTGGTAGGGCACTAGTTTTACACAAAAACAATGTTCAGGAAAAACACCTATTCCCTGACTTCAACTATCACAACCAGCACGCAAAAAGCCCCATAAGAGCACAAGGTCACTTTAATTTTTCTAGTTGGTCATGATGTAAGTTCCATTTGAAGTATAGAAAGATGAAACATATGAAAAAAGAGCAACACAGAACACAGTGGTCATAGCTGGGCAAATAGGAATCTCCAAATAATATCATTGATGCTGTTTTTATAACTGTGGTGTAGACCTTTAATATCATTGTGATAGTTGCTTTGCAGAACTCAGAAAGACATTAGAATAATACATGTATTGCAGTTTGGGGAAGAACTCAATAGGAAACAGAGCCAGTAGTGTATAGGTAGAAAGAAAAAAATTGTTTTGGTTATCCATTTTGGTAATCAAACACAATTAAGAATGTATAAAACATGGTCAATTGTGGCATTCACTCAAGTGCTGAAATAATTTTTACTGCTCTGTCCTACCATTTGGCTAGTCAAAACCATTATGTCGGTATTTATAATTAAGAGGTGATCATTCCAAGACTCTTCACTCATCAAGTACATCTGTACTTACTGGATAGACCTGCTGCTGTGTTTAGACACTACCAAGGGGTAAAGAACCTAGGATGGGGAGTGGGAACCAGATGGTGATGGGACAGTAGGGAAACACCACAGCTCTCTCCAACAAAAGAGAGAGTTCGAGTTCTAATGCTTAATTTCCCCAAGCATCCAAGAATAACCAAAAGATAAAATTTCAGAAAAAAACATGTGGTGGAAAAAACAAAAAAGAAAGAAAAGGAAGAATCTCAGAGCAGAAAAGTGCAAAGACCTCTCCCAGCTATGGCCTGCCTGGCCCTGTGGGGACTGCCAAAGTCCCCAGAGACACAGGGGGTCGTTTACAGATCACCCCTGCAGAAGACCTCTGAGGTACATGTGCTGGATCCTCTGATTCTGAGGAATAGAGAAACCTCGGAGCTGGGAGCCTGCACAAAGACCAATCCTCCACCCCTCCCCCACAGAGCAGAGGGGCTCCATCCCACCAAAGCCACTCAGCCACATGGCCCCATGGGAGGAACCCCAGGACTACAGGGGTCTGCACGCAGAATGCCAGTGTAGAAGACTTGTTAGGTATTGGTGATGATCCAGAGAACGCAGACAGAGACAAACCTCAGGGCTCAGAACCTGTACAGAGACCCCTCTCCCACCCCTCCACCCACGGCAGCCCATGGTATGCACAATCCAGCCTGTGGCATCCACAGCCTGCAGCATTGACACAAACAGCATCAATAGACATAGTGACAGAAGTGAAACACTGAAACAGAGCCACTAGTGGCCAGCCTAGCCCACAAGCATCTCTACTGAATGCAGATTGCAGAGGCAACCAGCAACCTACATCACACAGAAACTACAGTTGGAGAGTTCTCAACTAGATTCAGGGTGAGTACCCCACAGGGGACAGCATATACCCCCTCAAGGGAGACCAGATCCGGTGGGAATCCCCAGATCTTGACCCAGACCCCTGCCTCAACACCTAGAATACAGGACCCACTAAAACTGGGAACTGTTTGAGTTGTCCACCAGCCCATGGAGCACATCCAGCCAGCCAGGCTAGATCAAGAGCACCCCTGGAAGGGAGCTTAAACACCTAAGCCAGGAACAGTGTCTGGGGGTCACAACAGCTAACAGTGCAAGAATCCTGAACTGTGTACTCCAGGCTGCATAACACATGCAGGATATCCAGCAGTACAGGTCCAACTGGTGTGCCACAGGAGGGTGACCAGGAGCCAGGGCCAGGACCAGGCCTGGTGATTGGGTGCCTGAGCAACATAACCAGCTCCTCCCGATTGAAGTCAGAAGCTGAACATATGCCTCAGCAGAGGGTGAAAAGCAGGGAACCACATCACCTGGGAATAGCGCCTGTGACAGCAAAAGAACTGTGTGTCCAGGGCAAGAGAACTAGAAGCCCTAACCCCACCAGAACCTGATCCTTATATCCAGGCTGGGAATTGGAAAACTAAGGCCACCAGCACGTGATAATAGTCAGGAGCTCAGGCTGGTAAGGCAACTGAAGTATAGAGTGCTTGCCTTGTGTGTACGAGGCCCTGGGTCTGATTTCTTAGCACCACAAAAGCAGAAAGGGCCAGAAGTGGTGGTGTGGCTCAAATGGTAGGGCACTAGCCTTGAGCTGAAAAGCTGAAGGGAAGTACCCAGACCCAGAATTCACGCCCATGACTGACCAAAAGAAGAAATTAGGAGCTCATAGCAGACTCCGTCAACTGGGAGAGTAAATCCAGGTGATCTCCCCAAGAACGCCTATAAGAGTAAACAGGAACAGTTTAGGCTTCTCAGTCCCTCTAAAGGCAGAAACTGCCAGTGATGTACAGAAGACCACCGAGAGTCCTATGTGGGTCAGACTAGAAGCTAGAGGTCAGCCTCTCCCTCAAAAGAGCGGAGACTAGGTACAAACATACTCAGCCAACCCAGAACCAGCAAACAATCAAAGACAGACACACATTAACCAAAACAATATTTCAGATTAGTCTCCAATAATTAGTCTCCTGAATCCCCATGCAAAAATCACAAAGAAAAATTACAAGTTTTAACAGGACCCAAGATAGTAAGCTATCCCCAAAAGCCGGCAACCACCCAGTGGAAGCAAAGCAAGAATGGAAGACAAAAGCTATATCTAAGAGATGCTGGAGGTAATGACTTAAGAATTAAAGTAAGAAAT